TTTGTTCAAAATTAAAAAAAAAACGACTAGTGAATACTGATTATGAAAAAATACAAATAAAAAAATAACGAAATTCCTAGTACAGTAGCTAAGGCGGCGGCGGCGGCGCGTAGGCGAGTCGACAGCACGCGGGCAAGTACACATACATAATAATACTCGACTGTTCGGTAGACTGACAAGAATAAGAATATAAAAAACACACACACATTAAAAAAATGGGATGGGTTGTGGAATGGGAGTGGAGCGGCCCGCGTGGTTGACTGGTTCGGTCGTCTATTATATTATTGTTATGCGTTGCTTTATGCACAACCCACTCTGGTGGTTTATTATTTTCGATTTTCATTTTCCTTTTTTTTTTTTTTTTTTACACACACTTCTACTTAGCCGTACTCGACACACGCACACACACGTGTTGTGCACCCGTTTATTTCTATGTTTTACATAATAGTATACGATATACATGTATAAAAAAAATTAATATTGTAAATTCTACGCTTATTCTTATGCTTTATATACATATATAATTTATAATTGAAACCGAATAGTGTTTTTTTTTTCATATAATATAAAAACACTATTATAATCCAACGTCTTAGGTAATATTATTAATTGAACACAATTGAGACGTCTAGTTTCCGGCTAAAAGACATTTTTATAACGTTTTTATGAACTCACAATCTTGTTTTTAAAATGTTCACAAATAAAAAAATGATTTATTTAAAATTGTTTTTTTTTTTTAAACAAACCGAGATTTTTCCAACACGGTTTGGTAATCTTTATTTGATTTTCAACAATAGATTTACATACAAAAAAATATGTTTTTAAAATGTCTTTTAGCTGGTTTTGAAACTAGACGCCTTAATTATGGTAGTAATATGATGTTGTAATAATATTTTATATAGTCTTATTGGTAGGAAATAACAAAAACGCGCTTGAATAATATCTTCCAAATTTTATAAATTAAAAAAATATATTTATATAAAAAAGATCTTTGTACATATTTTATAAATTGCACGTGCAATATGCAAATCCATACAAAGAGCATGTTCAGTTTTAACTAACAAATTGTGCACAAATTGCATGTCCAAAGAGTAGGAATGACTTTTGTTGATTTCAAGAGTCCTCGTGTGGTTTCTATGAAATAAATATGGACATTTAGTGGGATTGAAAACAAAATCAATTTTCAAAAATAAACCGTACAACCATATCATTTTTTCATATGTTTGGCTGCTCTTAAACAGCAAAATTAAATTAAATGGATGACGGGGGAGCCGATTAATAGTATTTTACCCTTGTAGTTCAAAATTAATATTGTAGTTTTAATTATTTACATTTCATGTACTATAACTTTAGGGGAGGGAGGAAGCTATGGTAAATTGAAGCTCCCCCCTTTTTATGTTTATTTTTTTTATAATATAATATGTTTTTTTATGTATTTTATTTTTACTGCATAAACTAACTCAATGACTATTGCTTATATATTGTGCGTTAGAAGTGAATTATTTTTCCATTTCCCCTTTTTCCGTTCCTAGACCCGCCCCTGCTATACATTTAAAAACACTTTAAGAATGTGATAAAAAAAAGTCTTCAGGACATCAGTGTTTTTGAGCGATTTCGAAACGCTTCAATTGACCATTTTATCGGAACTAATTAGTTCAGTGTAATTTAAAGTTAAAAAATCAAAAGAATAATACGTCTATTCAATCTTTAGTACCAAAATTATTGTTTTAATTATAACATAAGGTTTGTCTGTGTACATTTGGAGTTAGGCGATTCCTAGATAACAATTATTATTATTGTTGTGTGTTGTGTGATTTGATTAAAATTCAAATTGGACTTGGGTTCATAAAATCATTTTTTACAAGGCTCAGTCCAACCAAAGTATATAACTGAGCTGTAATATAATAATCAGCACTATTTCTAAGAAGTGTAAAATTGTGTCAGAATCTTAGATATTTAAGTTTGGGCGTGTAAACTATACCAAAGTGCTTGTCGCTCATCATATACTAAAATTTACATTTTACACTGAAACTAAAAAAACAAAAATATTATATAGGTCAATATAATATACATATTTACACATCTCAAAATAAAGTTGACTGACGAATAGATTTTTTCCCAAACAGAACTTTACTTTTTTCGAGTTTTAGTTTAAAATGTAAATTTTCTTGTTTTTCTTAAAGTCGATAGGATACTATAAAAAAACGTACCTATGTACAATCACAGCGTTAATAATTCAAAAATGTGGTGGAAACTAAAAAATATAAAAATACCACTTGCGCACTAATTAAACCGCAATTAAAAAAAAGTAATCTGATTACACGAAAACGTTTGACGATATTTCCATTGTTATTTACACGGAAAAAAGGACTTTTTGGAGAAAATCATTCGAAAGGGAGGGTGTGTAGGGGTAGGGTTAGTCGAGGGTTGATTATTTAGGTCGATCCGGCGCCACCGCGCGTTCAAAACTTCAAAGTAGTTATTAATAATTTCCAATTAATTTGCTTGTTTGACGAATACGATATTAATTAAACGGGTAGGTATAAAGCGAATTGTATTTACTATACAAAATACCGTGCAAATCGTGTACCACCGCACAGTTGTAATGTTTTTTTTATTGTGTATAAATTATATTTTATATTGACAGTTTTCCAACTGCGGTGCGATTAGTACAAGCAGTAATATCTGTCTCTGCTCTGTGCACGTAGAAAATATATTAACAGTTAGCGTTCAAATTGTGTGCGTTCTCTCGGCAAATACACCGACACAAACATAATAATGTAATAGCTGAGCTTATGCGTGTGTGTGTGTGTGTTATAAAGGACAATATAATATAATACACTGCTAATAATAATTTCATATTCAAACACAGGGTCTCCTCCTACTACTGCTGCTCCTGTGGGGCGCACGTGGCACTTGGCTCTTTATAATATTCCAAAGGCTGAAAGCTCACATGTGCAACAGCAGCAGCAGCTCCCGGGAACCCGAGTAACCTGTTAGGTAATAATATTACTATTATTATTATTATTATTATTATTATATTTGAACAGTACCGTGTTACATTATAAACACACTGGGAGAGAGGTGGCGAGGTAGATCCGTGGGGGTAGCGAAGAGCATTCCTCTGTGTGTAGCTGTGCATTTTGTATTATGCCAAACGTGATGTGTGTCTCTTTTTTATTATTTATTTTTTTTTTTGACGTTGACACGAATAAAAAAAAAACCGTAAAACGAACGAGGAAATATTAATTTTTTACCCTCGAGCGAGGTACGAAAAAAAAAAAAATGTTGATACATCAACAGAATTGGCGCCTTAAATGGTTTTTTTTTTTTTTATATACTCAGCGCAGCAAATACAAAAAGGTCGCGTGTCCGCCGCATTGCTTTTCTCCGGAAGCTTTTTAATATACATTTTTATTATTATTAAATTCATATTTTTTTTATACTATTGTTGTCCGTGGCGGTTAGATCGTTGCACTTAGGCACTGAATCTTTGATTCATGCGCTCGCCAGAAAAAAAAAATCAACCGCCTTCGCCCAATTAATGGCCGACAAAATACGTGCTTACCGTTTTTTAGTCCAAATTATTATTTTGTTATATAGCCAAAAAAAAAAAAATAAAACAACAAATTATTTGTACAACCGACAAATGAAATAATAATAATAATTTGTACGAATTAAGAACAATTATTAGCGGTGAATTGTTTTTTTTTTTTTAGTACGACGTTTACTTATCTTAAACGACTGTTTACTTAAAAAAAAAAAAAAAATACTTAATTTTTTTTTAACTAGCAATTATTCAGGTTACGCCTAAACGCCGAGCAATTGAATTGTTGTATTTAATAATTATTGTAACAATAAGAAATTCAATACAAGGCCGTCGGTAGTAGTGCAATAACGACTGGCGTTGTATTTAATTAGATAAACGGTGTAACATCATATTATTATGCTGCAGTACAATTAACTATTAAAATATAATTGAACATTAACAGCGAATTTATATAGAGTAAATAAGTATGATACATAGATTTTATGTATTGCAAAAATAATTTTAAAAATCAGCTGTATTTCCATATAATATTCTAAATATAGTTTTCACTGTTTCTATAGTTTTTACTATGATACACATGCGTTGAGGAATTAATTAATTAAATTAAAAAGCCCATCGGTAATTATTCCAATTTCTCGTTATCGTTTCATGTGTATTCAATTTTGCACTACAACACTATTATTCAACGATCACATTTACATTTTGTAAAAAGATTTGAGTAGTTCGTGTGAGGATATTTTATGATATTATTAACTGTTGAACTATCCTATACCACAACCAACACTCATTGTATAATTATATCTTAATCTGTACAATTCTATCTGTACTATTTTATAGTGGATGTGGATGTGGTATAGGATAATTCGAGAATTGACAATATTATAAAAGATCAAATAATATGTTTATTACATTTACTACGGGCTATGTAGGAAACCGATTTGCATTTGAAAAAGAGGACCTAAGTAGTCGAAATTGTATCAGGCGTTAAATTGGTCTTAAACGTCAAAATAGCAGACCGCTTTCAATCATTTAAAATGTTGTGTTACCTAAAGAATTTTCTAAGAAATAGGTAAAAATATCCAATTATAAATATGTGTGTTTATATTTCGTTATATTATTCAGTATTAACTTTTTTTCAGTATTTTCCAGAGCTGTTATCGACTTTTGAAACTTAAACATACGGTAATACAATTAACTTGTTGACTTGAGAATAATTTGCTGATAATGTTTCGACTGGTCGATGACCGGTTTTGGATTATTATTATTATTTTAGAAGTTACCAGAGTTGAAAATAATTTAGGAAGGAAGGAAGGAAGTTTGGAGTGTAGTTTTATTTGTTTATATGGCGCGCATTACCTTGCCGCTCCCCACGTCCCGTCCTGACGTTTGGCACTTGAACAACTTTAATTATCAAAAACCGGACTTACTTGTCAAGTAATGGTACACTCACCGTTTTGCTCGTCGAACAGGCCGGCACGGTATTTGTCTCCTATCCGGAACTGTTCCACCCGCATGCTATTTCTTATGGCCGTCATCCTAAGGAGTCTGGGCGCCGAAATATCCGGTATGACGTCTTCGTTGCGGATCGAGTTCCGGCTCCGGAACAGTACCATGTTGTGGAAATGCTAAATGGGGGGGGAAAAAAAAAAAACAAACCGTTATATTATATATATATATATTATTTCACCGGCGACAGTTAGTGTATGCGAGCTTTGTAAAACGAAACTAGCGTCGGACAATTATCGAACAAACAAATGTTTTAATTTGCATTTTAAACGCAATACCTACGGCCGACCTGTGTACAGTGTATTTTTGGATATGTACTAGTTTTTCGTTGAAAATTACAATATTAACTATTTATCTACCACCGACGTCGCTCGCTCGGCACTTTGGTACTGTCGAAGTTTTCCATTTGCCTCGACAATAATTCTAAAGCCGGCTCTGAATTTCGAAGAAGTGACAATCTGAGTATTTAATCTCACCTTGTGCCATCGGATATGATCGTCGATGGACGGCTGGCTCTCTTGAGAGAGTGTATAATATTCGCCTTATAAGTCAAATACGTCGCGAACGGGTTATTGGAGAGAAAAAAAATAAAATTAATATTTCACAAAATAATACCTTGCGGCTTAACGTGACGGACATAATATTTAAATCTTGTCACGGTTTATGCAACACACAATATGACGTACAACTTCACTATGACATCTCGGCTTACTAAAAGTATGGTTTTTTTTTAAAGTCTAGTCGTTTCTTGGCCGTTTATACATCGCTTGTATACACTCTTAGAAAGGCAATTTTAATTACCGAGTTAATCATCGCTGTATGTTGTTGTCGCTGTACAATTTATTCAATTGCGGTTAATTACCGACAGGCAAACATATAGGTATACATTTAATTAAATGCACTTTAATAGGAATATATAACGAAATAGATTCGACCTACCTATACTAAGTTTGCATTTATTTTTGTCGCGTTTTAATTGCATCGAATTGAAGACAAACGATATAATATATATATATATATATATATATATATATATTAATTATGTTAATATAAAACCAAATCATTTAATCCAGGTCGGTTCTCTTTCGGTGAATTGTGTGTGTGCACTTGGCTTTCTTTTTTAATACGGTTTGATGGACAAACTTATTTTTATTTTGGTATAAATTAACTTGACAAATTATTTGGAAATTTTTTTTTTTTATAAATAAAATTCATATATTTTAGTTGAAAAATTTGAAATTTTACACGTGGCTCACGTTGAAATAATATTCGCTATAATTTCTTCATCGTTCAGATTGAGCGACAAAAAAAAAATTGTTTAGGTCAATACACTCCTCCATAGATAAACCATTAGACATTAAAAAATGCCAAATGTTTATCTACTAGAAAATATGGCCAATTATCGTTTGAATGGAAAGTATGTATACAAAAAAATATATATAATTTGTAAAAAGTGTCTTCTCGCAATGATTGGAATAATTAACCGTTTTGGGGCCTGGCCATGGCAAAAGTTTCAACATTAGTCAAAGTTAGTGGCAGCATTGCTTAAGTGTGCTAATAGAATTAGTTGCACGTTGTTGCGACGGCCCTATATAATAATATATTCTACTTTATGAGGCGCACACATTAATTATACTATTAAGATGTTGACATAATCATATCATTATTATTGAACCGTTAATCGGTGGTAATTAAAAAAAAAAAAAAAAATACTCGACTTGTAAGCCGACCGACCGGGTTTTTTTTTTTTTTTGGCCAACTCGACGTCTTTATTTTTTATTTGATTGAAATAAGTTTTTTTAAGAACACGCGTGTTGTAATATACTTTGGGGTCGAGTGTTTCGTGAAACGACGACAACAACAACAACGACAACTGGTAATCAAGTGATTGGACACCGTTTTTACACGGTGTAGGTACAACACCGGGGCGGTTTTTTCGTAGAGGATTTGCTGGAAATGGAATTTCTGCGATTTTTCAAAAAAAAAAAGCCGGCTTACCTGGTGGGCTTTGGCAAAAAAAAAAAAAATGCTCCTCCCCGTTAGTCCGGCGGTGGCGGCGGCGGTGGCATAAGATAACAGCAGCAGAAGCACCTAAGACCGACACCCGGTTGACTTGCCAACACAATCATGGTACATGTCTGAGTGGAACACACACACGCGTTGGGTATATGGAATAATAATGATAATATAATGGGAAAAAAAAACACACACACACACAACAGCTATATAATAATTTATAATTTTATGCAGCCGCGTACCTACGGTCTCCGCGACGCGATATCCACTGATCGACGGCTGTATTGCATTTTGTACGATGTTGGATTTTTTTTTCCGGCCTGCCCACACTATTTCCCACCGCCATCAATCCTGTACATAATATAGTAGTAGTAGTAGTAGTAGTAGTAGTACCTATTTGTAAAATAACACTATTTACAGTAGGTTATACAATTATTTATACAATACCCAGCTATACTGTGATCACCGACGGCGGAGGTGACTAGACGAGACAGTGGTAGAGGAACAACACTGTATTATTATCTTATTGAATCTTATATTTTACACAAATCGCTAAGTATGTTCCAAGCACCTTAAACGTACTGGCGTGTGACGAGCCAACGCTCTGGGCGCTATAATAGTGATAATAATAACGATGGGTCTCGGTGGTGCACACTTGTTGTTGTAAGTACATATTTTTTTCGAAAATACAATTTTTTCATACCAACAGTGGTGCCAGCGATTGGCATTGTCTCAATTTTTGGCTATGTAGTGGTTTTTTTTATACATCAGATAGAAGATATTTCATACCGTTGAGATACAATTTTTTATACAAAATTCATTGGAAAAAAAAAAACACTGCACTGCCGAAGACTTGATTATAGTCACTGGTATCGTTACCCTAAACAGAAAAGCATTATTGAATGCGCTTTATTTTTTCCACTATAAAAGTTCTTTAAATCTCAAATTTATATTTGTTGTGATACTTAGATTTACAATGAAAACTTTGTAATGCAATATTATTAAAACAATTTAATTTGCTCTCCTGAACAATTTTAATTTTGTGACTTATAATAAGTGTGCATTAATAGCTAGTGTCGAGGCCAGATTTGTTTGGAAAACAAAACCGATGAATTGTATGTTCATTGTAAGTATGTACATGTTATTGTATGACTATTGTGAAGTCGGGAAAAAAAGTTGATACTATAATGATTCATACAAAATATATTCTTATAGACATTTATTATTAAAAGTCATAATAAAACATAATGTTGATCAAGTAGTTGTGGTTTACATCGCCTACATGGCACACACAATCCCGTTTACGGTTTAGTAATTGTATTTATGAAAAGAGTTGAAGAACTCATTTGTTTATGAAAAGGGTTTGTGCATTAGTTCAATTCAAAAACTATTACTATTATTGGTTAAAATAAAATAAATTGGAAAAATTGTTATTCACAAATTTAAACTTGCGCGCAGTGCGATTTTTTTCAAGTAAAATTGTATTTTTCGACTAAACCTCTTTCATAAATAATCGATTCAGTTACACGCTTTACAAGCACATCTACAACTTAAAACACGGAATATACAACTTAAGGAAAAATGTAATATTTATGTCCAACTATAAATAATGCTGTTCAACTTGTATTATTCGTGCTCGCGAATACGGTTTTATTTAAACACTTCAAGATATAGATATGTAATAAACTTGTAAACTTTAGGGTAGTGTTGTTAGTGAATTACTATTTTTTTTTTTTTTTTTTGTACAACAGTGCTTTTGTGCTCCGCCGCATAGTTTTACTCATGGAACTATTTTAATCCATACAAGTTAGACACACAAATCTGAAATTCATTTAAATTGGGTATGCTCTGCTGACACTTGTTAACCGTGTGCACTTTATTTATTAAACCATTTCACACAATGTTGGCGGTGTACTTACTAATTTGTAAGTTTTCGGTTACAAACACAAATTTTCTCCATTGAGTTTCTTTGTCGCTTTGTCGAGTTCTCTGCCGATTCGGTTCGGGTGCAACCTATTATGGGCATAGCGATAATTATACATACCTATTATGCTACTTAGGGCGAATGCGGTGATTTAATCAACAACTTCCATTCTGATATAAATTTACTTACCTCGAGGCGCCGGCATACCTATTATCAGCAGCGCCACCGACCTCGACGGCCTGAAGCCAAGGCCGAACCGTGTATTTTGTACCGCTCACAAAGTAATAAAATGTTTTTTTTTTTTATATTGGATAAAACTATTTCGTTCTTCTAACGGAAATTTCCTAACGAAAATTAAGCGCTAGAACGTTTCTGTTTTCACAATAATTTCTGTAGCCACCAAGTGCACTGTACAGTACACGTTAAAAAACAAGGGTGGACCAATGAGGGGATGAGGCTATGAAGGCTGAAGCCCCATCCCTTAAGTACTTAAACCGTGTAAACGTTAACTCTATCACTTACAAATATCACCACCGTGTTTTAATCATATCGCGCTTTTCGTGATAAATTATTATTATTAGTGTTATTACTGAACAACGTCGATAACGTTCGACAAAATGTTATGTATTTTATTCGACGATTTATTACTTTATCATTGATCGGTCGCCCAAACGGTATCGGTTGTGTTAAGAGAGTCATCGATCGCTGCCAGACGCAGATCTCGGTTGGTGATAATAGGATTTTCTTGTTGGCTTCGGGCCAAATAAATATGTCGTTATCGACACGAGTATGAAAATATGCGTACTTGTCGTTATTTGCGGTGAGATTTCTGAAAGAAAAAAAAATCCATACGAACATTATAATACATCATGTTACAATTATTATTATTATTTGTTTATCATCTGTTCGAGTACAACCTACGCGTTTGATTATCCGCCACGGGAGAGAGGTCATATTTTATACGTATAGTAGACTTTAATCGCCTTACCATATTTTGTTTATTGGAGTATTTTTTTTTAATATTTCTTTTCCAGACCGCTAAGGTTGTCTAGGAGTGTCCCCCCTTTCCCCCGGTAAACATATTAATATGTCGGTGCAGTGTCGGTTGAAAAGGTTATTGGACGGGGTTCATTAATCGATCAAAAATATAAAAAAAAAACAAAAGGCGGAAGTCAAATCACACAGACGTGACGGACGCACACGATAGTCGAATCCGTAACACCTGCGGGCCACAATAGCTTGTGTACATGTGTCTGTCAATCGCTCTGTATAATAATATAATATTATTATACCCGTAGGTTCCCCGTTTACCGGTACCTATACTACAGAGCTGTACAGCTTTAGTCTACGGGTGCTACATGATAATAATATCGTCCCATAGGTCACTATTGTATTTTAGTATTAAATCGGTTGGCTACCGTTATGTTGGCGTTTGCAATGCAACTACAGACGTCATAACAGTCCTAACGAGTCAGTTCAAGTGTAAACTACACTTAAAAAATCTACAAATTGGTATTGAAAAAAAATAAAGAACGTTATCTCTAATCTCTTAACATTTATCACTCTTCTCTTATCTCTTATCGCGTGAAAGTGTAACGCACAGATATATATATATATAATAACTAGATTGCTATCTATTGATAAGAATTAAAGTCGACGTCGGCCATTTTTGTGGGATTTATGTGTGTGTATAAAATTAATATTTATGTATGTATATCTGCGATTCTGTGCTATCGATTTAACTTGTAATAATTGTTATAAACAGTGAAAACAGCTGTTATAAACATGTGATAAGGTTTTAATTCCCACACAGATGGTGGAAAGTGGAACTTCAATTATCTCTATTGGCGGCATGGACACTAGTGTTTATCACTGATCTCTTATCACTCTTCTCTTATCTCTTATCACATGACATTTTTTGTATTCAGTCCAATAACATGTCCACGTTGAAAACAAGTGAAGCAATCGGGCCGGCCCATTTGGCACTCTGAAAACAAAAATAAATTACACGTTCAAGAATATTATCTTCTATAATAAAAATAAAATATATTATAATATACACAAAGGCTACTATTAGTTATGGTCCTTTGGGCACGGTATAGCCTTGGAGCGACGGGATTGAGTTTAAGATAAAACTAGAATTTAATCTTAAGCACACCGCTCGAACCGAGTGTGTATTTTGTAAATAGGTACATTTTTTTTAACCTTTATAGTACAACCGAAATCTAGTTATACCCATAGTAACTAGGGTCGTCGAATGTTTGTACTTAGGTTAGAGGATATAATTTAATTATAAATGTTAGAAAAGCGTTTCAGTAAAATTTTTAAACAATACAAATTAAAAAAGTATTTTTTTTAAAAGCGTGCACAAGACAAAATATTGTGCGTAGCTAAATATTTATTATTTCCAATACTTCCCAAATTGTTTTCAAGTTTTTTACAACGGTTTTATTTCATAAACTAATTATATACATATATATATAGTTATTGTTCTCCGATAAGCCGAAGGTTAATGGCATCGATTAAGGCAATAAATAATTATAATTTGTATTTCTTTAGCCAGATTAAAAATGTTTTAAAGAATGTTGTTTACCGATTTATGCACAATTTTTCTTTTAATAGTATTGTAATTATTTTTAATTAATTTTTGTAAGATTATTTATCCTATTTTGATTGGTGCAAATAGGTTAGAAATTTAAGATACCGTCAGCGTGGGTTATTTTTTACAGAAATTCTATTTATTTTGTACTCCAAGACTTTCTTTTTTTCGTTTTGTTTAGCTTCTATTGTGGTTACTGATCTGCAATCAGTGTGTTGCCGATCAAAAAAAATCGGTCTAGTTGTTACGAAAAATAAAAAAATCGTGCGAACAGACACCCAAAAAGAAAAGGTACATTACTATTGTAAAACCACCAAACCTCAATTACTTGCACCAAAATACACAACTGCCTAAACCGTTTAGCATACAAAATCCGCCCAAGACGGACGGTATTGTTGTTACCATATTATTCTTTGACCAAAAAAGCGTTAAACACACTTACACGGATACATATATACTATTAGATATATCATATATAACCATCGCAAGGTCATTTTGATAAAAGTCACAAAAACCAAACCGGGTTAAGTTAGCTTAATCCATCCACCGACACAATTGGGTCGCTTATTGCAAAAGTGGTGTAACTCCAAATATGTACATATTTTTGCTTAATGGAGTCACATTCAGTCATATCTTTCATTGTAGAAATATCGAAGCAACTCGAATAATTACAAAAGTAAATAAAAAATAGATAACACTGAATGAATACATTTTGTTTTGCTACACAATTAATTTCCTCTTGATAAAAATACAATATGTTATATTATGGTGACAATTAAAACAATAATTATTCTTAACATGGACTCGCAACCAAATGTCAAAAATTATAGTAGTGGGTTTTTACATTAAGCTAAATCCTAATTTGTAAATCATACTGTTTTCGGGCCGTTTTGTCCTCGTTGTAAAATAATATAATTCCAGCCTTAAAAAAAAAAAATGGGCGCTACTTTTTGGGAAATTCGCTTGGAGATTCAAAGCGACCGGATTTTCCGTACAAATTATTATCTATGTTTGTATACCGAAGGAGAAATTGTTGACTTAGGATCCTAAAGCGTGTACACGACCATTATAACCGTGTAAGTGGACCGAAATCGATTTACCATTATAATATATATATATATATATTATTATAATGGAACGATGCCGTGCCGAGTGGTTTATTCGAATACCTACTTTATCTGTTCTGTATCACCGTTAATTTGCCACAAATCGGACTAAATAGCATAGAAAAAGTGGTATACTAAAAAAAAAAATTGGTCGGTACAACAGCTGAGACCTGAGTGTATGGTCAGTAGGCTAATGCACGGTGCATGATCGTTATGCGTTCATTGTGTGTGGTGTTATGATTGTTTCCGGTATGATGATATGGCCAGACACGGTACGTTATAAAAAAAAACCGGAACAGCCGACAAAAAAAAAAAGTGCTATGCCCATAATATTATTGTATTTGTTTTGTCTGAACATAATATAATATATATATATATATATATTATAATAATAATACATAAACACACACACACACGGCTCCTCCGTCCAAACTACACCGTGTAAAATATAATATTATACCGTCTCACAAGTTAGTAAGACCTGTAATTGTATTCCGTTTGACCGATTCCCCTATTGAAATCAGAATATATGTCTTGGATCGAAGATTTTCAATGGTATAAAGATGTTTGGAAAAAAATACAGGACAAGATCGATACAAAGTTACTGATATTTAAAAAATGTATTTCTACATTAATCGTATTGGCCTATCCATTGCAGATTATGCAAAACGCACATACACTTCCCTTGGGAAATTTTGTCCTCTTTATATTACTATAAATCTTTTTTATTATAAGCGTTTTCTCTATCTCTAAAATCACTTTTAAGGGCACCTTTTTGTGTTTTGCGTGAAGATGCAAACATTTCTTTTTTAAATCGCTGTCAAGGGTGCTGTCTGAAAAATAAATTGACTACCAAAAAAAAGAGTCCTAATTATTGAACTACTCATTAGTTGAACATCACAGTTTAACATTGAAATAATTTAATATTACTCATCATTCACTTATTAATTAGGTAAACCTGTAATATTGCACAATTTACGGTTTTGTATTAATAATAGTACCTATATACCGTTTATTCGGTTTATAGCAATTTATTTCTTATATTAATTATTACTACTATTAATTTACATATAGTTCACATACAAAATGGGTATAAGTTAGGTATAACACATCAGTCCTGATTCCATTCTTTTTTGTCCATCCGAAACTTCTTTGGCCTACTTCTTTTCGTTATTAGTATTTTCTTGGCTATTTCATTCTTATATGGTTATCAAGGAACGTTATTTTTACAGTTAATACCTAAACATTCTCGCTTAAGCCAGGCGTTACTTATTTACAGTGTGTAATAATATTTATTAGTTAACTCAAATATTTTCCCCCTTTTTTACTTAATGTAACATTTTATAATTGTATTTATAGTAAAAAAAAAAATACATATATACCCATATTGAAAGATATAAAAATAAGTATAGAAAGTACAACTTAAGTGGCTACAGTACCTCACATTAATTCTTTAAAAAAAACACAAATTTATATTAATTTAATTTAATGCGTTATTAAAAGTTTTTTTTTTACAGGTAAGTATACTTTTCTTT